CTGCTGGAAATCATTCCTTGCTCTCTCGTATTCATTCATACCATACAGTGCCTCGCCTCGTCGGAACAAAGCCTTCTCGCTTGTAGAATCCATTTCCAGTGCCTGCAACCAGGAAATGTGTTTTTTTCTCCAATCCATTGAAACATATACTCTTTATTTTAAAGAAACAATTCTAATCTTAATGATTTATGTCTCTACTTCATGGAAGTAGAGACGAGACCAATACCTTGTCACAGTTTTCTAAGGCTTTGCTTGGCTCTTGCATTTTAAGATAGCACATGGCCAGGTTTAGATGTGCAGCCAGTCGTAGGGCCTTCGCCTTCTTTTCATCCTCTTCTGACAAGCCAGACTCGTGCTCTAGCCATGAAACTATCTTTTTGTACTGAACAGATGCCTGCTTGTATTTCCCATCCTGTAAGAACAGAATCAATAACTCAGAAGAAATGACAAGGAGAGAGCAAGCTTTTAAATGATGCATAAAAATCCCTGGCTGTAAAACATGTACCTTAAAGCACTGTGTTCCTTTCTCTTTCACTATACCGCTTTGCTCCAGCTTTTCTACTGTGTTCATTTCCCATGACTCCTTTGCCTGTTTGATACAAATAAAAAGGCCAAATTGAAGGAAAGTGGAGAAATTTACCAACTAGTTGTCACAGAGCTTCGTGATTTGCTTACCTTCTCAAAGGCAGTCAGCTTAATCTTATACTGCAGTGTTGCTCCACCAGGAATATTATATTTTTCATTGCCAGCAGTCCCAAAGCCATATCTACAAATCAAACGTTTGCTTTTAGTGCATGAAGACAATTTAGTGTCTGATTCTAAACACTGCTAAAGCAAAAAAGTCTTTTGCAACTTGGAGGAATTTGTCTTTGATCAATTCCATCGTAGATTATGTGAAACACACCAAACTGATCACATTTCCGGTACCAAAAACGTTTCTTGGCGTAGCCCATAAAAAAAGCACTTTTTAAAAATAAACTAATAAATATAGTCATACTTGGGCTTCATAGTGAAGAGTGCCTCTTCTCCTTGCTCCATGGCCATGATGGCTTTCTCCACACCATTGGGCAAGCTAAAACTCTCTCCATCTCCAATCTCAAACTTCAGTTCCCTCTCATCAAACACGCGTTCATCGCAGGTACCCTGCAGAACAACTGCAACAGAAATACTGGCATTAACTTCAGCCACGCTGTGTTGGTAAAACACTGAATGGGATAGATAAGGTTATATAAAGACTTAAAAGGAAACATAAAAACATGAAGCTTACTTTTGAGTTTTTGCTCTTTGTTCTAGGTGCCTAAAGCTTGAATCTGTTAAACCGTGTTACTGAGATGTGTACCACCCACAGGTCTCTAGAAGTGTCACTAAACCTGTTTTACAACCTATTACAGAGCATTTTAGCGCTCAAGTAATGCCTTTGGATTTTTTTAAAGTTTAATTCTTGTCTAACCTTTAAATAAAAATGCACCTCAACACATATTCACATCTACACTTTGTCCATTGTAGCAATTTAGAGCAAATCTAGCTCCTTTCATCCACCATAATTAGTAAAATCATACATGTAGAGACATGTGATCAGCTGTTAAGTACATTCTCTGTTAAAACATTGGTCCTTAGCTTGATTTTTCATTTTACTCACAGTAAAATAACCTTGTTGAGGTCGAGGCCATTTAGCCTAATGCCTGAATAACAACATCAAGGCTGCGTCAAACTTAAGATAAAGGAGTTTTATTAATGTTGTTTGATTTCAACTTTTTCATTAAAGCTTTACCATATGGCGCATCTCCTCTAAGATAGTTGATAGGTTTAGCTCAAATACCTTCCACAACAGCTCCTTCATTGGGTTTGGAGTAACCTTCTCCTTTGGTGATGATACGCCGTATGATTCCCCCGTCTTCATCATCTGTAATGTCTTCCCCTCGAAATTCAAACAGTTCCACCTAGATTTAAGCAAACAAATAAATCAACATCTCAAGTTTTTAGGCTTTAAATGGATATGAGCCTGATCACTGTGATTAAAAAAAAAAGTAAAAAAAAAAAAGAATGAGCTCATTAGGGGTGTTCCTAGAATCACTATCTGCTTTCTCATCACCAGAATACCTGACATATTCTGGGAACTAACAATAGTCTCTAAAGCCTGAGGTTTTGAAAGAACAAATGATGTATCAGCACTGTGAGTAGCTGAAAGTTTTCACTTTAGCTTAGCTGCCATTTACTGATACAATTGAAATAAATGTCAGCTAATTTAGTAATAGATTCATCATTAAGTATAGAAACTCTAGAACATGTCAGTAGCTGACATAGAGAGAACTATAGAGAACTATACCAGAATGTAAAAAAAATCTATATAAATATCTTGCATTTAAGATAAGAAAAACTTTTTGATCCGTCAACATCCTCTATCCAGAACTCCACAAGTGGTAAAGTTTTAGTTTAACCTCTTTTTAATTCTGTAAAAAACTTCTGTAAGCAAATTTTTTATATCTGATTAATTGATCAATAGAAAAAATTATCGACAGATTAATCAATTAGCTAAATAATCATCAGTTGCAGCTCTACTAACTTTCCTGAAACTTAAAACCCTGAAACAAATAAACTACGTCATGGTTAACATCATCACAACCCTCATAGTCGGGATCTTACTTCAGCGGGATCATGAGATTACTACTACCTAAGGGTGTGCAAAATAATCGTCAAATCGATGCATCGTGATTCTAATTTTTGTGATCTACTGAATCGATTCTTGAAGGCAAGAATCGATTATAAAAAAAAAAAAAATGAACAAATAAAATACATTAATGGTTGGCGCACATCAATCAAACCAAGTGGAATACAACTTCCAGTCCAGCAGATGTCGCTGCGGATGTGTTGACGCCTGCTGCTTTGTGTCATAAGCATGTCCGGACTGATTATCCTAATTTTGTTATTTTAAGTTTGATGAATCCTAAGATCTTTTTGTCAGTGTGTCCATGCCAGTAATAGTAATATTTCTGTCCAGTATTTGTTTTCATGGCAACACCTCCAAAAGTAATTTCAATAAATACAGCTATGTATGAATTCAGTTGCTTTCAGTTATGTATCAATTGAAGACACTATCCAGATCACACCCAGCCAGTCAGCCACTGGTAAGGGCTGGATCTTTTTCTTACAGTGTTCAGTGAAAATATCCCAATGCATCGCAATATTTCAAGTATCGTGATGCATCGTGATAGAATCGCATCGTGGCATGTGAATCGTGATTCGAATCGAATCGTGACTTCTTTGCCAATACCCACCCCTACTACTACCATCACTATTATTGTAATTTTATACCATTTTATTTCAATGTTTTTTTTTTCTGCCCTTTGCAGAGATTTACATCACAGTGATGCTTTACTTGTTAAAGACAAAGGTCATCAAGAAATGCCTGATTTTAATTCTAAATAAAACTGATCAGATCATATTCGACATTTTCATTTTAACAACTTTTTTCTTAATTTCTAATGATCTTAAAGCCTGTGCCCACCTCGAAAACAAGTGTTGCACTGGGAGGGATCTTGGGCGGACTGCCTGCGGATCCATAAGCATACTCTGGCTTGCAGATGAGCTGACACACCTCTCCCACTCTCATTGTCGCCACACCGATATCCCATGCCTTAATCACTTGTCCTATAGGGAGAGAGAACTTAAATAACCCCTCATGATTGTGCAACCATGACATAGAAACACTGATGCCTTTCTGATAGCAAACCAACCTTTGCCCAGCTCAAAAGAAAACTTCTCTCCTCTGTCTCTGCTGGAGTCAAAATGTGTTCCATCCAGGAGAGTACCCACATAATGGACAAACACTTTATCACCAGTCATAGGCAGCTCTTCACCAGTGCCTTCCCTTTTCACCAGCTGCAAGAGAAGAAATGTGCAGAAGTTAGAAAAAACTGAAATAAAATGCAACTTTCAGTCCATGTGCTGAATATCTATTATACAGCTGAGATATGTTGCACAAGAAGCTAATTTTTAAAAGCATTTAATAGGAATCTAACATCCTATATAGGACAGAAGTAAGTCAAGCAGCACTGATAGCTGCTCCTCTACAGATCTTTCTGGAAATGCATGGTGTTGCACTGCAAGTGTTGAATTTCACCCTCATTCAAAACTCAACATAAAAAAAGCTGCTTCAATGCACAGGTATAGGATCAAATAAACAGTTTTTTTTATTATCTTAGTTAGCCTTTGCATTTAAATTACAATGAAAAATCTGTGCGTCACACAAGCTACAAGAAGCTAACGTTAGCCTAGCTTTAAAGTAGCAGCAGCAGCAGAGCATTTACCTTTAAAACTCCTCCATCTTTCTTTGGTGTGATGTCTTCTCCCTCCATGGGGATGCTGTGTTGTCCTTCGCTGTTCTGCTCCTCTGCGGTCATCGGTTTTACTGGGTCAGATTCAACAGTATCCCTGTAAACCAGCAACAACTGATACTTGCTACCAACCCCGCCAAGTGCAGCAAGCAGCAACTAACGTCAACAGAAGTAGCAGCAGTGCGTCGCTTATTTCCTACGCTGTTAGCTCTACAATCCTTTTTTTTTTGCAGCTGGAAAGGAAATACGCGCTCACTGTTTTTATTTAGTAAAAATTGCTCAAAAATGAGGTTGATTGCGATCTTCGGGAGAAGCTTGCTGATTCTGAGCCACTGACAGGCGCTTATAGAGGAGCAGAGAACTTTCCAGACAGTCTAGGAGGATCGACAGCAACGAATGCGCGTTAGAGATGTTTCACGTTTACACTAGCGTATGCCACAAAGGCGGTGCAAAGCGCAAATATGCGAGTAACTGCAAGGTTTATTAGCATTAAATATATATATTTTTTTACTTTTGAGACAATATCAGCAAAAGTGCCAGCATTACATGTAAATTGTGTAAAAATTTCAATGAGAACAAGATAGGGCTTATTTTACAATTGCCCCGCCCACATTTATTTCTTCATATAGTAAAACATGCATCTATTTTTTTTACTTTGCTCCTATTGGCTACAATCTGTGAGCGTTTCTGTTTGTTGGCGCGGTTGTTGAAAACCCGGGAGTTGAGCAGAGGTGGTTTTAATGCTTCATATCTGGGGTGAGTTTACTACTTAGCGTTTAGAAATATCTATTTAATAAATACAAGACGGTGAACCAGATCACCTCAGCAAGAATTGACCGTATATTATTTGACCTAATCCTGACTTTTGCGTTAAGGCTGAACGTTTGGTTCAGATCAGTGTCCCCTACAAATACAGGCCATTTTATTATTGAAGGGCATATTTTCATTGACAGGCTAGCTAGTTGCACAGATCTGGGTAAGTAAACCGATCTCTATGTCTTTACATCTACGATTCATGCTGGTTTTTGCTGTTTCTACCTTAGTCAGTTAAATAACATGCTGCTGTCATTTTGCACATCTCTGATGTTGCTGATATTTTCAAATATCCATTACTGTAAAAGGGTCCATGGCTGTATATTTGTTATTTATCCTTCAGGTGCACCGTATTTATACACTTTACAGTACAGTATGCGTTTATTTTTTTTAACTCTTCACTATTATGTTATTTTTAAACACTTATCTAAGATTCACATTTGTGTGACCATTTATATCTATAATCTTTTTGCTGCTGAAACACAAGAATTTCCCCATTGTGGGACAATAAAGGGATTTTTATTCTATTCCATTCTATGATTGATACTAAGGACGTTAGCCAGTAATGGTAGTTGGGTATTTTTAGAGTTTTTTTTTTTTTTTTTGTCTTTTATAATAATAGAAAGTTAACATAGAAGGAAACCGTGCAATTGGAGAAAAAAAAAGCACAACAGTGTTAATTCAAGCCTTAAGAGATTTGTGAAGCGAATTACAATCAATAGTTTTGGCTAGACTGATTTTGCATCTATTGAAACTGGTGTCTTCGCTTCAAAAGCAAAAACACACAAAGTTTTATCAAGGGCTTAGGTTATGGCTGTTGTCAGAAGTGTCTTACTTGAGCTAGGAAGAAAATGACTGGACTGTTGCTTAGTGCACTAAAATCCAAAGCTTCATGGCCTTTTTAATGATGCATACTCTTCAAAGATTAAACTGCTATAATTACGTACCAAGGGATGAAACAGAGATGTGCATTGGCCAATTTAAAGAATAGAATAGGATATCTCTTTATTGTCCCACAGTGGGAAATTTTTTGTGCTCACAGAAGCAAAGAGATGATAGAAAAACTGGTCACACAAATGTTGACCTTAGAAAAGTATATAAGATTAACATAAAATACTGTACTGTAATATGTTTTAAGAATATAAATACTGTGCACCTGGAGAATAAATAACCAATATACAGCTATGGACATTTTTACAGTAATGGATATTTGGAAATAGCAGCAACATCAGAGATGTGAAAAATTACTGCAGCATGTTATTTAACTCACTAAGGTAGAAACTTAGCCTGGGTGCCAGTCCGAACTTAGTCCCGCCCACAAGGTTTGAGTTCGGGGAAGTTCGGTCTGGCTCTGCTCCATAGTAGCGCGAGTATTAAAGCCCACTGTCAGGCGATCCAATCAAATTGTCAGGGCGGGCTTTATACGATGATGGACAGATGATCAAGAGTAACGTTATCAACCACGTGACCAAAGCGCGCTTGGGTGACAACAATAATAGCTGCCGCTGGAGAGTTTGGGTGAGTAGATTCTGCTATTAGGTCTGTTCTAGAAGATATCGACAGCAAATTAATTTTAAAAGAGGAACAGAGAAACGCGATCAAGTCTCATCTTCTTATTCTAGGCGTGAAACTGCACGCTTTGATTTTTGTGGACAACAACTATGCCTCGCTTAAGATACGTCACGCACTCCGTTGCTCTTATTGGTTGTAGGTCTATCCAATTGAGTGCAGAGGCATTTTTTTTCCTGGTTCGTTCAAAACACGCCCCATAATCACAGCTCTATGGAGCAGTATCAGACTCATATTCTGAATAGAATTGAGTCGGACTACGTCAGGCTAGTAGAAACTGCAAAATCAGTATGAATATAACAACTTATTGAGTGGTTAGAAAGTCTTCCAGCTGCTGGGAGTAAGGATCTGTGATAACGCTCCCTGGTGCATTTAGGGTGCAGCAGTCTGTCACTGAAGGAGCTCTCAATTTGTCTTTCAATACAAAGCAGCTTAATAGTTTATGTGGTGTTTGCTTTCTTTAGGCACCTGAGAAGCATGGAAATTGGAAGAGACTCGTTCCCCTTTCCCTACAAGCCCTACGGCATCCAGGAGCAGTTCATGAGAGCTCTCTACAGCGCCCTGGATGAGGGCAAAGTGGGCATCTTTGAGAGTCCCACTGGAACGGTGTGTTGGTGTAGAGGAGCATCATTTGAGTAAAGTCAGGGTTGAATTTTCTTGAAATCATCAGGATCTAACTGATGCATTTTTTTTTTTTTTTTGTTACTTCAGGGCAAGTCTTTAAGTCTGATATGTGGAGCCCTGAGCTGGCTGACAGACTATGAGGAGAAGAGGAAACAGGAGACAGCTGCTCTGCTGCAGGAAGGAGAAGCCTCTCTCTCCATCTCTGTTGCTCCATCATCCAGCTCCAGCTCAGCATCAGCAGAACCAGACTGGATCACCGACTTTGTCCAGAAAAAGGCTGAACGTGACCTGGTGTCAAAGTTAAAGGTAGACGTGAGGGAGGGAACAGGGTATTGAGATCTTTTTATGTGTTTTTATATTTGACTCTATGTTTTGCTCAGGAGGAGGAGCTAAAGAGAAAGAAAAGAGAAGAACGATTGGAAATTATCAGGAATAACGTTCATCTAAAGTATGCTGGTAAAAGAAAGGCAAGTGTGCAGAAGGCAGCCTGTTTGGATATCAGCATGTGGAGAATTCATCACAAACCGTTTTATAAAGCCAGATAAGAGTTTTAAAATCTGACCTCGTCTCAGAGCCGCGAGGAGGACGAAGCGTTCAAGCTGCTTCAGCTCAGTAAAGAGGAACAAGCCGAGACTCCAGGAGATCAAGAGGATGAGGAGTTTATTGTTGCAGAATATGAGAGTGACGATGAGTCAAAGGGTAAGAGCAGGTGAGTGCTTTTATCGACTGGAACAACCTGTGTAAAAAATTATCATCAAAAGCCTGAAAAAAGTAGGATTACAACCAGCTGTGTTTGCTAACCTGTACAGAGTATTTGGAGGTGAGGAGGAGGAAGATGAGGAGCTGGTAGAGGAACATGTGACCAAGGTGTGGGCATCGATGCAGTCAACATGAACATAACCTCATAACCCAAAATCCCAGTATGCGTCCGTCGACTGATCTTGCATAAATGAAAACATGTGTTCTGTTTTTAGATTTACTACTGCAGTCGCACGCATTCCCAGTTGGCCCAGTTTGTCCATGAGGTTCAGAAGAGCCCCTTTAGTAAAAACATCAGTCTAGTGACACTGGGTTCTCGGCAGGTACCACTACACACACACACACACACACACACACACACACACACACACACACATACTCGTTCTGCTATATGTAGTGAGGACCATGTGCTGACTCCCTTTGACTTCCATTGCTTTTACGTCATTTTCAAACCTTCCTATGCCCTAACCCTAAACCTAACCATTAACAACGCATACTTAACCCTAACCCAATTGACACCTAAGTCCTAAACCTAACCCAACTCAAAGAAGATAACTTTACCACATGGGAACCAGTGTAATGTCCCCACATGTACCTGTAAGTCCCCACAATGTGGGATATTTTACAAAACACTGTCCCCAATATTGTTGGTAGGTAAAGCAAGACCACATGTATGCAAATATTTTTGGTTGAAAGCAATATTAAAAACATGGGCTATGTTAGTTCAACCCTAAGTTCATGATCAGATACATGTATAGATATATGCATATATAATCTTCTGCTCTGAAATAAGGATAATATGTGATATCTGTTTTTTTTATTCTTTTTTTTTTCCACCATTGCTAAGACTGAAGCTTTTTGCCATCTATTTATTCGCTGCTGTCATTCGGTCAAACTATATCCATAAACTTATACATATGTAATTGGAATTTTTATGCTATTGACCAAAACAAAACAAAACATAGATGTCAAATAAGACATGTTTTTTTTTTTCTCGAAATTTAGTTGTTAGTTTTTAACAAATAAGACTGAGAAGTCAGTTTTTACTTTCCAGCTGCATGAGTTACCAGTTGTTTGCTTCAAGGGACTGAAGATTTTCTCCATTCCTCTAATCAAAAAATCTTAATGGTCAGATTGAATTGAGAGCAATGTTCCCTCTAAGCTGCAAGCTTGCGCAATTGTGCATTCGCAGCATACAAGAAAATCTATGCATAGTTTAAAATAAAATCAAATAAACTGTAAATCAATTAGACTAATTAAAATGTTTTCTGTATCATTTTAGAATTGGTGAATCATTATTTTTACAGTTTAAAACCAGCAGTGAAAATACCTTAAATAACTGAGTCCATGACAATCAAACCCACCGGTTTGTTAACAACATCAGACAGTTAAAGACGCACCTGTTGATTGTGTAAAGCAATGGTCCCTGGGACTTTTTTTTGTTAAATTCAAGTGCGTAATAAAGCAAAAACTTAAACAGGGGTCAACCCTAACATTCTTAGATACACTATATTGCCAAAAGTATTTGCTCACCCATCCAAATTATTGGAATCAGGTGTTCCAATCACTTCCATGGCCACAGGTGTATAAATTCAAGCACCTAGGCATGCAGACTGTTTTTACAAACATTTGTGAAAGAATGGGTCGCTCTCAGGAGCTCAGTGAATTCCAGCGTGGAACTGTGATAGGATGCCACCTGTGCAACAAATCCAGTCGTGAAATTTCCTCGCTCCTAAATATTCCACAGTCAACTGTCAGCTGTATTATAAGAAAATGGAAGTGTTTGGGAACGACAGCAACTCAGCCACGAAGTGGTAGGCCACGTAAACTGACGGAGCGGGGTCAGCGGATGCTGACGCGCATAGTGCGAAGAGGTCGCCAACTTTCTGCAGAGTCAATCACTACAGACCTCCAAACTTCATGTAGCTCAAGAACAGTGCGCAGAGAGCTTCATGGAATGGGTTTCCATGGTCGAGCAGCTGCATCCAAGCCATACATCACCAAGTGCAATGCAAAGCGTCGGATGCGGTGGTGTAAAGCACGCCGCCACTGGACTCTAGAGCAGTGGAGACGCGTTCTCTGGAGTGACGAATCGCGCTTCTCCATCTGGCAATCTGATGGACGGGTCTGGGTTTGGCGGTTGCCAGGAGAACGGTACTTGTCTGACTGCATTGTGCCAAGTGTAAAGTTTGGTGGAGGGGGGATTATGGTGTGGGGTTGTTTTTCAGGAGCTGGGCTTGGCCCCTTAGTTCCAGTGAAAGGAACTCTGAATGCTTCAGCATCCCAAGACATTTTGGACAATTCCATGCTCCCAACTTTGTGGGAACAGTTTGGAGCTGGCCCCTTCCTCTTCCAACATGACTGTGCACCAGTGCACAAAGCAAGGTCCATAAAGACATGGATGACAGAGTCTGGTGTGGATGAACTTGACTGGCCTGCACAGAGTCCTGACCTCAACCCGATAGAACACCTTTGGGATGAATTAGAGCGGAGACTGAGAGCCAGGCCTTCTCGTCCAACATCAGTGTGCGACCTCACAAATGCGCTTCTGGAAGAATGGTCAAAAATTCCCATAAACACACTCCTAAACCTTGTGGACAGCCTTCCCAGAAGAGTTGAAGCTGTTCTAGCTGCAAAGGGTGGACCGACGTCATATTGAACCCTATGGATTAGGAACGGGATGTCACTTAAGCTCATATGTGAGTCAAGGCAGGTGAGCAAATACTTTTGGCAATATAGTGTATGTTGGCTGCAGTCCTTAGGAGATTTTAGATATTTGTGCTGCATTCCAGTCATCCAGTGCTTTTTGGGAAAGAAGATTTATAGTTAATTAATCATATCAAACCAGCATCCAGAAAGCTCTTTAAGCTGCATATTTTGTCACAGCACGGAAGTTATATTCAAACATACTTGCATCCCCCCCACATCTGAAATCAAAATTTCATCCATGTCACAGTCGATAGAGGAAAACAAAGGTTACCAATGGGTCTGATTCTGTTTTCTCTGCTCTCCAGAACCTGTGTGTTAACGAGGAGGTGCGACGGCTGGGCAGCGTCCAGCGAATTAATGATCGCTGCTTGGAAATGCAGAAAAACAAGCACGGTGAGAAAATTGACTCCTTCCTTCGATCAAGACCACATTCTTTGAGCTCATGGTTTTCCCTTTTTTTCTCGTTCTTTAATTTGTTCGCAGAGAGGGTGCAACATGAAGACGGCGCAAAACGCAAGAAAGGCCCACCGAAGAGCGTTTGTCCTTACAACAAAGCTTCGGCGCTGCAGCAGATGAGGGACGAGGTCCTGGGGACGATCCAGGACATAGAGCAACTGCTGAAGATCGGGAAGGAATTACATGCCTGTCCTTATTACTCCACACGTCTTGCTGTCCCACCTGCACAGGTAAACATGTGCATTTATTCTTAGTGCATTTAACCCTCCATGCTGGTATTTTAACACAGCTAAAGAGAGAGTTGCATTTATTCTTCTTCTGTTTTTTATTTTGTAGTTGGTCGTTTTGCCTTATCAGATGGTTCTTCATGAGGCTACAAGAAGGGCAGCAGGGATCCAGCTAAAGGGACAGGTACAACGTAACTACCTCTCTGATACACATTTAAAAATCTTCACAGTGTTTATTTATTTTTATTTTTTTTAAAGTTCACATATATATGACATCATGCTAACATAATTGAGGGATATGTGGAAATAGAAGTGATACCATACCATACCATACCAACTTTATTTATGAAGCACTTTATGCACCGGACAGGACCAAAGTGCTGTACACAATCATAAAATACAATAAAATTATAAAATAGAGAAAAAACGAGTGTAAAATACATATTAGTATACAAAAATAATAAAACAAAGTAAAACCTCTCAAATTGTGCTAAAAGCCAAGGAAAAAAGATAAGTCTTAAGAAGGGACTTAAAAACAGCAAGAGAAGAGGCCTGTCTTACCCCCAGATTCCACATACTCCGTCAGCACTCCGCCCCGCTGACGTACGTCGTGCGGAGCGCTTGTCTTTCATGGAAATCAATGAGAACTGTTCCACATCCACCGCTACTCCTCCGCACGTCTCCGTCCACGTACGTCTTCTCCGTCCGTCACCGACAAATTACGGAGCCGAGCTATTTTTTGCTCCGCTCCGGTCCGGCCAAGTCAAGATCCGCAATTGCAATCGCACCAAACAGGAAAAAGAACATCGACAAATTCCGGTTCGTCAAATTAAAATATAGTAGCAACAGATTGGTGACTTTGCGTGGAACTGTTTATAAAGCCGTATGTTCGGAAAGGAAGCTCGAGGCGGAGAAAAAGCTAGAGAATATATATACGTATATATGTGTGTGTGTGTTTACATACATACAGGAGTCATGGAACTCTGCTTACAGCTCCTTCATATTTCATGTACACTAATAACTTGTGTAGGCCTACATGGTTCTGGTTGATGGCATTAAAATCATTTCTAATAGCATTAAAATAGCATTAAATTAGAGTCACTCATTCCTGTATGAACCCTGTGAGCGCTTAATTTAATATGGCATATTAAAAAAATCCCACCATCATCCAGCATATGTTCAGTTTCTGCCCAAATATATAAATATATATTTGTAGATTTTTGTAACAGAGATAAGGATAATTCAAAACTGCTTTTTTTTAATGAACTTGTTCTCTACAACTCAGCAACTACAACTACAACTCTTTTGAATGGATTTGATTAAACTTTAAGTCCCTCGGTATAAAATAAATATTTTAATGGAGATGAGAAATCTGCTTCCTGGTTGGTGAATAACCAATAGTTTGGATCCAATCATTTAAATAAACGGTGTTAGTTTTTTTTTTTTTTTTTTTTTTTAGATATTTATATATATTTATAGATATTTTTTAGATAATATCTGACAAAATTGTTTTTAGAAGCATTTTTATTAAAGAATCATAAATGCAACGATAAACATATTTAATTAATTTTAGTGCCAATTAAGGCCTTGATTAAAAAAAGAATTATGAATTGTACTTATTTTTAATGATCCGCGGAAACCCTGGTTCATCTGGCGCATGCCCTCTATGATCTCCAAGGAACTCAGAGCGGAGTGGACGGAGCAACAGCGGCGGCTGTAGGCTTTGCTTTGTGCAGGCGGTCTGCAGCGCAGCGGGGCGGAGCGGAGCGGAGCGCAGACGGAGTATGTGGGATTTCGGGGTTATGCTCAGAGGCAGATGTAATCTGATTCTAATTCTATCTGATTCTAAGAATTTAGTCTATTAGGGCAGAGATTATGAATAATATCAATAGATTATAAATATAGAATATAAAATAATATAAACATAAATTTAAAATAAAAATAATTATAAATAATAATAAAATAATATTATATGATAATAAAATAATGTAAACACTATAGTTTGAGTAACCCTTTTAGATGATTATTATCCGTTGTGGAGCCCTTTTCAGCTTACTGTTGGAGCCCACCAGGTTTTTAATGAAATATTTTGGTATGTCAGAAAGCTCTTTCCTTTTGTTTAAAAAAACTCTTCCAATCTAAATTTACATTGGTCGGCCATGTGTAAAACCTGAAGAGGTTGATTATTTCCCCCCATGCCCTTACTGCATGTGAACAGGATTAAATTGGCTGTTTGTCAAAATTCTTAAAACCCTTTAATACCTTCTCTGAAGGTAGATTCAGTCTAATTAAGGTCATTTCCTGACTTCCATCCATCCATTTCCGTCACACTTATCCCAGCTGGGGTCGGGAGGGATGCTGGTGCTCCAGCTGTCTACGGGCGAGAGGCGGGGTACACCTTGGACAGGTCGCCAGTCCATCGCAGGGAAACACAGAGACAAAAAGGACAAACCACCATTCACGCACACATTCACACCTAAGGAGAATTTAGAGTAGCCAATTAAACTGTCAGGTTTTTGGACTGTGGGAGGAAGCTGGAGTGCCTGGAGAGAACCCCACATGCACAGGGAGAACATGCAAACTCCATGCAGAAAGACCCGGGGCCGGGAATTGAACCCAGAACAGGCAGCAGTTCTACCCCACTGCACCATTGTGCAGTCATTTCCTGACTTCAATATTTGTTTATCAATTAGAATGTTTTCTTCTATTTCCCATTTTGAGGATTTGCTCAAAATTATTTGAAGAATAAAAAAAAAAGTGAAATGTATTAGTAAGATAAGATGTTTTCCCTTCTGACTCACTTCATTCAAACAAAAGTTAAAATTCTCCCCCAGTGCTGTAATCAGATTTATTTATTAGGAGGGCTGCTGTAACGGACGTCCGACATCTTGTTTTAAACAGGTGGTGATCATAGATGAAGCGCACAATCTCAGCGACACCCTGTCCTGTATACACAGCGTAGAGCTCAATGGAGCGCAGGTAAACCGTCTCCACGGTCTGAGCTCTTTGGTCTCTGTTTAGCTTTTCTAATGTCTGAATTCCCTGCAGCTTTGCCGCGCTCAGTCCCAGCTTACCCAGTATGCCGAGCGCTACAAGTGAGTGTCGGGGGTGGAGAAAAAGACTTGAATCAACAATTCAGTTCTATCTCTCGGTGCACTTATTCAGTTTGCTCGTGTTTTAACCACCAGGAGCAGACTGAAGGCAAAGAACGTGATGTACATCAAGCAGATTCTGTTTGTGATAGAGGGGCTGATCCGTGTGCTGGGAGGTAAGTTTCTGCAGGAAGGATTCCCAACAATTACACTGAGGCCTTCTAAACTAACATATTCGCCAGGTTAATAATAAGCTGAGCTTTATTTACTGTTTTTGTTTTCCAGGTAAAGTTGGACAGAATCCACAGAGTCAGATTACACAAGCAGGTTAGTCTGGGCTAAATGTTTGTCAGCGTATCCCATGGAGTTACAGACTAGTAAAACATTTTCTTTTTAACCCTCCAGGGACAGAGATGTATACCATTAACAATTTCCTCTTCAAGGCTCAGATTGACAATATCAACTTATTTAAGGTATTTCTTCTTGCTTAATCAAAAATCATGTCCCCTGCTTCTTTTTTTCTTAACAAACATCGTCTAAATATGATGTTTTTCCTACCTTAGTTACACAGATACATTGAAAAGAGCATGATCAGCAGGAAGGTAAGTATTCTTTTGCACTTTAAGTAGGTAAAATGCATATAAAAAAACATTTATGGTCTTGCAAAAGTATTAATTCGTTAGAACACTTAATCAAATGTTCTGGTGCTGCAAACAAAACCACAATGAGATTGTACTGGGATTTAAAGCTGACTATTCATTGGATGAAAATAGGCTTTTCATAATTACTAATTCATATTTTAATTATGGCTGGATTATGTTTTTTTTCTTGCTAATTTAAAGCTTATACTGCATTTATTTTACTTAAGTTAGGCACATTAAAGGTTGTAAGGTGTTGGGAATGTGAAGGATTGCAAGGAGCGTGAAGGCTTTTTTAAAGAAAATGGATGTCTGACTGTGATTTTCCAAAAAGACTGAGGGAGCCATGTCTGTCTGCAGCTGGGGGGGTTTGTGGAGAAGTACGCCGGCTCTGGTGTGATGCTGCACGCCCAGAGCACCTCCAACAAAGAGAACCGTCGCACAGAAGGTTTAAATCGTTACCTTGAAACCTTAAAGAAGAGCCCCACCTCTGCACCAGGTCAGCACTGGGGTGCTTCCTTGTTTTGGTCAATAAGTAACAATTACTCACATGATATTCTGAAATGTATTTTGGTAAAAATACATAATAGACGGAATATGGTGCATTTTCTGCATCTGGCCATGTATCTGACTTTGATATTGCATAGAAACTAACTGTAGGCGCAATGAATTAGATGTTTACCCTTTTGTGCAGTTCCTCCAACAGACCAGCAGGGGGCTGCTGAAGCAGACAAAGTGCTGTCAGCATCCCCTATGATGCAGGTGGAGGGGTTCTTCCTGGCTCTCACCAACAGTAACACTGATGGCAGGGTGGTTTTAAACAAACAAGGTACTTTTTGTTGGATTTTCACAAAAAAAAAAAAAAAAAGAAACAATCAACTGCTATGGAATGAAACGCTCAATTTTTTAAAACCAGGTACTTTGTCTGAGAGCAGCGTCAAATTCCTTCTTTTGAATCCAGCCGTCCACTTTGCCCAGGTGTTGAAGGAATGCAGAGCAGTCATTATTGCAGGAGGAACAATGCAGCCGGTGAGCTGATTCTTAGAGAATCTGACGAAGATAAAAAGGGTGATGTGTGATCATTTTCACAATAAAACAGTTTCTAAAACTGTATCTTATCTGATCTGTTTAGGTTTCAGACTTCAAACAGGAACTACTGCTTTCTGCTGGAGTGAAGGAGGAGCGTATCACTGAGTTTTCCTGTGGTAAATCAACTTGTTTCTAACCCAACTATAAAATATGGAGTCTACCTTCATAATTCTCTTTGTAAGGTTTTTTTTTTTATAGTAAATATTTGTGTATTTTCCAGATGTATAATATAAAGGACTTATGAGCGGTACCATGTTTTAGTATATATTTTGTCATGGATAAAACGTGTTTAGGGGAATCTAAAATCTGCATTTAAAAATACAGATATCACACATGTTACATATGGATGGCTGTAGTTTGAGGCAGAGCTGAAAGAATTATGCATAAATCAATGTTATATTAGAAAGTAAGTTATGCCAAAGTTATAGCAAGTAATATAAAAAAGCTCTAGCTTTAATCCATCATTGTCTGCATATCTGAAACTGGCTCACAGCGATGAGGTCTGGTGGAAAAACCCAATACAAAAATAATGAGCTAAACCTTGGAGCTCCATTTGTCCTGCGAATTTTCTTTCTCTTGTATCTTTCTTTTTAAAAATATGAGTACTAAAGAAAGATCACACAACCTTTATACTTAAATACCTAAGTTATGGGAACACAAATTTATACTTGTGCTTTAATTTATAGTTGTGCTTTTTAGCACAAACCGATATTTTTATTTTGGGTTTAAGAAAAAATTTGTGTGTGATCATCAGCATACGCCTGAACCAACTCAGCTACCACATTTTATTGATTGATCAAACTGATCAGGTAGAAATCCCTCCTATGAGGTTTTAAGGAGGTAGGGCTGAAAGGCTGAGTCCACCCACACTATAGAGGAAGCTCATTTCAGGCCCTTTCATCAGCAATCTGATTCTTTTGGTTATGATCCTCATCTCCATTACAGGTGAGTTTATGGCTCAACATTCATTTTTTTTTTTTTACCCTGACAGATGAGAGAAATTACCTCCCATCACTTTGGAGCAAAACTAAGAAATAAAACTGCTGCAGTTGAAGCAGAAATATACCGTAAGGAAAGTGGCTTCAGACTGAAATCCATATTGAGCCGTTTTTAAATCACTTTAACCTCAAGTTAAAGCTGGTTCATTCAGACAGACGCTGCAATCCTGGTTTATAACTAGTTCTTTAGGAGAGATGACACTGGGTATAAACCAGGTAAAACTGGTTTGGTTTGTTTATTTACAGGCTTTAGCTGACAAACATTCTTCTATACAAATAATGATCCTGTCACAAAAAGGCAGTTATCTTTCACACCTCTAACATGTAGCAATAGGTGACTGTTCAAACACAGCCATGTTTAGTTTTAATATTTTGAATATTTTTTATATTTATTCTGGTGAAACTACAGGACATGTGATTCCCCCTGAGAATATTCTTCCCCTCGTTTTGTGTGCCGGTCCATCGGGTCAGGAGCTGGATTTCACCTTTCAAAACAGAGACTCTCCTCGAATGGTACGACCGTTTAAAAACCTTCAACATTTGAAGTTTCATTGTTTTATTCCACCTTAAGGCCATATAATGCAGAGAAAGCTTATTCTATTTTTTTTCCCAAAATGCTGTTGGTTGACTTTTTTAAAATTAGCAGATTCGGGTCTATAAAATCATCACTATGATGCAGTATGGATGACAGTGTTGGTCCTCTGTTTACAGATGGATGAAACAGGACGCATTCTCTCCAACATCTGCAACGTGGTCCCTGGGGGGGTTGTGTGTTTCTTTCCCTCTTATGAATACTCCAGGAGGATTATTTCTCACTGGGAGGCCAGCAGCTTGATTACCAGACTAGGGAATAAGAAAAAGGTAAAAAAAAAAAAAACAACAGCATATCATGAAAAAAACCCACAAATGCAAGCAAAACCTGGATAACATAAAAGCACAGCTTTCTAAGGATCACGAAGCCATCCCATATCACTATCACTCCTCAGATCTTTCAGGAACCAAAGAAGGCCAACCAGGTGGAGCAGGTGCTAAATGAGTTTACCCGTTGTATCCAGGTAACATAAACCCTGCTACATACCTCCTAAGTCAATGATCCCATCATTTCGGTTGAACCTCACATCTACATATTACTTTTCATTTCAGCGGTGTGCCTTGGACAGCAGTGGAGGAGTCACAGGGGCAATATTGTTCTCTGTGGTGGGTGGAAAGATGAGTGAGGGCATCAATTTCTCTGATGACCTGGGGAGGTATGCGTTAAACCAAAAACCCTGTGCTTCACCAGCTGCTTGGAGCAATAAAAGCTAAATGTGATACTTGTCCATCTGATTACAGGTGTGTAGTGATGGTAGGGATGCCATATCCTAACATCAAATCTCCAGAGCTGCAGGAAAAGATGTCATATCTTGACAAACACCTGGTCAGATTCCTCCTCAAGTGCCTGGACTGCATCATTGTAATTGGAAAACAAAAGCTGAATGATTGTACTTCTCTTCATTTCAGCCTCACTGTCATGGGAGAAGCCCTGGACAAGCACTGGTAGAGAACCTGTGCATGAAGGCCGTCAACCAGTCTATAGGTAATGATTGGAGAAGATAAATTGAGCTTCTTACAATAAGGATCCTTATTAATCTGGAGGCTGTAACATCTATATTATTTGTTCTCTCCAAAGGCAGAGCCATCAGACACAGAGGCGACTATTCCTCCATCGTCCTTTGTGACAGGCGTTACGCTCGGCCCGCCACGCTGTCTAAGCTCCCCACTTGGATCAAGGATCGCACCACCACACACTCCAGCTTCGGTCCTGCTTTTGCCGCCTTGCGGAAGGTGAGGAGCGCAGTGATGGGCTTAGAAAAGGTCTTTGTGTTATGACTGAAAGAAAAAGTTCATACATATTTTTTTGTTGTTCTTCTCTAGTTCTTCCTGGAGAAGAAGAAGATGCAGGAATAGTTTCTTTCACAGCTCATTGATGCACTGCAAGGGACCTTTTATCTGCTTTAATTATGTTTTTATTTTTGATTTAAACATAATATTTTATTTTTGTCATGAATGTTTCAGTTGTCCTCAGGTTTTAGTCAGGATGTTAGTTATTTTAAATTAAATTCAACAGTTTTCTATGTTAATTGTTACTTAAATGACTACCAGACCAAAATTGGACACAAGACTGATTATTCTTTGCTGAAAATGTTCAGACTTCAAGAACTTTTCTTGTTTAAAGTTTTTTTCCAAATTGTTCCTTTAATTAAATGCAACTTCTTCATTAAAAAAAAACCAAAACTCTACAGCGTTGTTCATTATCCATCATGTTATGCTTCCCAGTCATCGTCATCCGTCGCTGTGTGTGGGGCAGGAGGGGGCGGGATGACATCTGACATCCTGGCAAAAGCTCCTCCGGTACCAGCAGGAGTTTCACTGGACTCTCCGCCTGCCGGGCCCTTCCCTGATATTCCTGGACAGAGCGCACATCAACATCAGTATAACAAATGCCCATCTGCTCTAATGGAGTCAGATATTTTATCATAATAAAATACTCTAATACTAATAATTCTTTTTTTTTTTAGGATATTTTAAGTAAAGCAATCAGATATTAGATTAGGCCACAGTTGAAAAATAACAAACACCAGAGCTGTAACAAATAACCATTGAAACTAATAAATCCTTTGACTAAATCAAACTTTAGCTGCACTAGTTTGGATTTCCATGTTGGCAAGAGAACCCAACATGTCATAATAATCTTAATTCTGCAGTTTAAAAGGTGAAGAGTAGTTTTTTTCAACTCAACTCAAACTGTATTTATAAAGTACATTTAAAACAACCAGAGTTGACCAAAGTGCTGTACAGATATCACAGATGCAGGAAATGAGGTAAAAACTTAAAACAAAAATACATAAACTGCAATAAAATAGAAGGAAGATAAAATAAGTTAGAAAAAATTTTTTTTTTGGCCAGATGTCCACTTAAACTTGATTAAAAGCCAGGGAGAAGAAGTCTGTTTTTAGGGGGGCTTTAAAAACCTCAAAAGATCCTGCAGATCAAATGTGCCTGGGCGGGTTGTTCCAGAGCCTCAGTGGCGCTGCCATAAAAAAACCTTAAAATCTATTCCCAGAGCAACCGGGAGCAAGTGCAGTGAAGCTAGGACGGGTGATATGTGGTCACGTTTACGTGAGCCAGTAAGGAGAATGTAAGCTGCATTTTGTACCAGCTGCAGGCGGTGCAAAAGTGAGTGGTCAAGGCCAACATATAATGAATTACAGTAATTCAATCTTGTATTAATGACAGCATGCATTACAGTCTCCAGATCTCTGCGTGGCAGGTACCCTTTTACTTTTGATAAGCTTTTTCAAAAGGAAATTGTAGAACAACCTATTTGTTCTGTTTGTATTATTTATCTTAGGTGATTTTTAAACACAACTTTCTTGAGCTTTACAGTAAAAAAAACAAATAGCGATGAAAATATTTATTTTAATGCCATTTACAGAGTAAGTAACACTATTTTATATATATTTTTTAACAATAGCATTAGCAGAACAGAGGCACCATATTAGTGTGGAGTGTTGGCCTAGTGGTTAGAGCAATGCTTGTGCTCTGAAAAGGTTGCAGGTATCTGGTTTGATCCCTACAGCCTCTCAGTCCCGTTAACCCCACACTGCTCCCCGGGTGCAGCACAATGGCAGCCCACTGCTGCCCGGGGGGATGGGTTAAATGCAGAGGTAAATTTCACCAATGTGAGATCAATAAAGTTCAATTATTATTATTTATTATATTAATTTGTCTTTTTGACCTAATTGTGTTTATTTTCTGGTGATTATTGTGTTTTTTTTTTAAGCTTTGTTTTTCCACTTCATGAATTTTTTGCATTTTCATCTTGATCAGGACTCCTTAGCAGAAGAAATATTAAATCCAAACGGAGCATTTTTGGATGAATAAGTAAAAGTAAAGCCATTTGATGTAAATTGACATTTCTCACCTTTCCTTCGCATGGCTAGTTTATTGAAGAGATCAGACATAAAATCTCCTCCACTGGATGCCGCTCCAACAGCTGAAAAAAATAAAATAAAATCCATGTGGTCAAGATTAGCATTTAAGCAAAAAAAAAAATCTATTTTGGACAAAATTTAGTTAATTATAACTCTGTTATCATTGATTTAAAAATACTTAATTTTTCAAGCTTAAGACAAAATTTTAAATATGTAATAGCCCATCCATAGTCTAGACTCTAAACTTTTGATTACTATAATGCATAGAGAGGCATTTTAAACTACACATCTGTCTAATTGTCTATCAGGATAAACATTTAATTGTCAAATAATAATAAACTGGGACTCTTCCAGGACTTTTAAGCTCAACCTTGGAGCTCTGACGACGCAGCATCCTTATCTAACCTGTACCTTGAAGCCATTTCTCAAACATCTAGCAGCATTTCTCCGTCCCTCACCCTGCTCTTGCTCTTTCTGCTTCTTCTTCTCCATCTTGCGTTCTTTAACGTTGCGTAACTTGGCTTTGCCAATGCCCCCAGCGTTCCGGATGGACTCGAGCAGACTGGCGCGGCCGTCTGACGGCTGAACCACCTCACTGGGAGCACCAGATACGGATCCTACAGACAGAGAGGGAGTCAGGACAGTCAGCTGAACATCACTCACTTAATTACAGTATTAAAAAAAAAAGTGGGTACATCCATTTTTGGAGACATGCCATTATACTGTATCTTCTAATGGGAGGACACTAAAAGCATCTGTCAATATTATGTAGTAAAACAATTTTTTTCAGATCCTCAGAGTTATTTGCAACAACGTGCCACAATCATCTGGGTTCCCTTCGATATAAAAAAAAATTTAACCATTATGTTAGATTAAATTGTGTCTATAAAATCCCTTTTGTTGTGAATTGATGCTGTCTAATTAGTCTGAATTGAACTGCTGGTTTAGAAAGAATGGATGGTTGTTGAGTCATTTCAAGGGAAGAGCAAAGTACTATACTGATTTCTCTTCATGTACAAACCTGAGCTTGACGTCGGAGCAGCCTCTATGGGTGTCTCTATGGCAGGAGGTGGTGGAGGAGGGGGGGCAGGAGGAGCTCCTGCAGGAATTGGAGGCATGGTTGGCTCAGGGGGAGGGGGTGGCGGAGGTGGAGGGGGTGGTGGTGGAAGATTATTTTGGAGCTCTGTTCCTGGAAAAAACAGAAACTGAATTTAAAGTATCTGGAACAAAAAAAGGTGGAACTTGAGTAAAGGATTGGATGAGAGTATCACCATGGGTTCGTTCAAAACCGATTGGGTGAAGATAAATAGGTGGGTTTTCTTCGATGATATAAGCTGATTGGATACTTTATACAAATTCAAAAACAGAATACACAACTTTAAATGAAGTTTTGAAACTCCAACTCTGAATAAAGAAGGTGCCACCTTCGTTCTTTTCATGATGGTTAGGGAAGAAAGTAAAGGGAACAGAACCAGTTCATTGAGCAAATTAACATTTGTGTGGACAAAAGGCCCAAAACTTAGAACCTCCCACTTACAGTCCACAGACGTTAAGTGGGAGTTGTTATGTACCTGGTGCAGGGCTTTCTTCGGTGAAGGAGGGCAAATCTGGGATGTGTAGGGTCGGCCCTGAAGGAGCGAATCCAGGTCCGAGATCTGCACTGTATGACAAATCGTCTGCAATACCTGGAAGGTCGGGCAAGTAGGACGGCACATCTATCTCAGGCACCTGACCCAGGTCTGGCACATAAAAAAAACTTTCTGCCGTCTGTAAGAGAGAACAAAATCATTAAGTTAGGCCATCCATGCATATAAGTAAGTGATAATGCCAGATAACAAATGGACACTTTGCATCAGATGTCATAGATAAATGTAACACCTGTTGTACTGGTCCTGACTCAGAAATCTTTATAATCTTAAACCTTTGAACATTTTATAAACGATCAACACAAACTAGTACATGCTAATAAAGTGGAATAAAAGGACATGTGGCCTACATTTAAGTTCACCCTCAATGTAGGGTGACTGTGTAGAAACACTTCCCCCTGCATTTACTGCTCTAAGCATTTTGTGTGACATCTCTGCATATTGCATCAACACACTAAACTTTTTTCCTATTTTTCTTTGGAAAATAGCTCAGTCAGACTGGATAGTAGTTAATGTCAGAGCAGGATTTGTTTTTGCGTCTTGTCTCAGATCCTATCTTGGTCTTTTATTAGAGCCCTTCTATTATATTATTATGCTTTGATCTAAAAACTCCTACATTAGATCTGGCTGCATATTCAGAGCTGCAATCCTGCAGGAAGGGGACCTTCTGTCAAATCTTTTACAGTCTCTAGCAGGTTTTCTTCCAGTAATGCCTTACAATTAGGACAAACCAACTTCCCACCAACTCTAACCTTTTTCTCTGTCTCTGTAGTTTAAGGGGATGTGCAGTGTAAGTTTCCCATCCCAAACATTGCTTTTCATATAGAGCAGAAAGTTTAGTGGAAGAAAATCACTTTATTCCAAGTTTGCCGTCTCCCCTACTAGATCTCCAGCAAACAAAAAACTGATTTTGTTACAGTTTTCCTTCAAAAGCAACTTTCTTATGAACACTACTGTGGACAGATTATCCCATATAAGCTGTGGATTTCTACATCTTTTTAAAAGTTATCATGGCCCAAATATTTTCTAAAAACTTACAAATTTTTCAGTTTTAAATCACTTAAAAATCAAATAAAAGGCATTTAGGTTTGCAGTTATAATGTCCCAAAACTGGAGTATGAACAGTTCTTCCTGGCACAGTAAGCCTGCATATACCTGTCTCTCCAGCTGCTCCCTCGTTGTGATAGACAAAGGAGCATCAAACGGTTTCTCCTCCTTCTCCGTCTCCAGAGTTTGGTGCGTTTTTGTCACTGCTCCAGCCAGAGGATCAAGGAACACATATTTTTTGTATCTATGGGAAGCAAACGACAAAGAGGCCGATATTTAAAATCCACACAGCTGCTGCAGCAGGAGGCATGCGAGTCTGTTTCTTTTTTCTTACAGATTCTCCGTGGTGTTAAAGAGCAACAGAGAGCTGACAGATGAGATGTTTCGCGGCAGACTGCCCAATCCTTCTTCCGTCTCATCCTCAGACTTCTTTTTGTTGCTCACACACACTGGGAAATATGTTAACTTCTCCTGAAGGGGGACAGAGATCAATACAAAGTGAGCTCATGGGGAAGAATCTGTAAATCTTGTGCAATGGGAATCAAAAATGAATCTGCAAAAAGAAGCACAATCAGTGAAGAAGTTTCCTTCAGAGAATGTTAAATAAAGCATTT